TGGACAATATTATAGTATAGTTTAAAAAATTATTTAAATACGAGAGCCATGCGTAGGTAGAAATGGGCTGGCTCATCCAGGCTAATACCACGGCCTCACAAAATTGGAATGAAGCAATGATTGCATTGTGTTTCGTCGTGAGAGGTTTCGAGAGGCTCAAACCTATCGCTTTTTAATTATAACAAGTGCCTTATTTTCAGCTTCTATACCGAGATTGGATTTATTGCGCAATGACATCAATATGGATAATGAAATACATTTCAGTAATTACATTACAATGTGTGTACTGTGAGAAGTTCTACATAGCGGTGGAGAAAGCTAAGACAACATGTATACAGCGTATGATGAATGTCAACTGCTCAAGTAAGAACTTATTTCTTAGATAAGCAGAAGAAGAAAGAAGAAGAAAAAGTATTTTTTTGACCATTAGATAAACATGAAAATACCTTGAATAATAATAAAACGCAAATACTTATAACAATAACAATGTAACACAAACAATGATAGAATTAAACTGTCAAACACCAAGCGGTCACCGGTGGTCACCGGTGACCTATTGTTCTATAATTGTGTCTATAATGACGGTACTCAACGAGTTAAACAGTGTCTTAGATGTTGATTTTTACAACGTTTGTGCATGACACCGTTCTAATACACAAAATTATAATAAGTGTTGTATAGAATCTGAATTTAAAACCACACCATCGACTCATGACTGACATGACAGTCCTCTGTTGGATTATAATCCTTTTTTATATAATAATATAAGAAGAAATGCTATTATCAGAAGAACATTTACATTCAGCACAAGTTAAATATTTTATTTTCTGTATGAAACGAATAGCGCAAATTCATAATATGTTATTTGATTTTTTGCAGAAGACTATCGAAGACTCTTCAAAAGCGTTTTAAGAGAAAATCGATCATCGTCAATTAAAATGAATGCGTATGGACTTTATAATGTGGACGCAACTCTTCCGTTGAGTATAATGGGATTATTTACTAATTATGCTTTCATACTTCTACAGTTTGCTTTCTTATAAATATTTAAGCCAAATAATAAATAATTTTGAAGTGTTGTGTAATTATTTATGCAGTATTAGTGTTCATAATTTTGTAATTTTGAATGGAATGCACTGTAATTTTCATTGTAATTTAAGGACCCTTTACCTTATCATAATTTTAATATCGCAACCAGTTTTGTGATTTCTATAAGGCCTTTAATTGATTTTAGCAAATGCAAAGTTCAATATGGAGTTCCGCAAGGTTCCACACTAGGACCAATGTTGTTGTACGTTATTATGATACATTTTACGCGGTTAGGTAAACGTTATTTTAATGTTAATGTTGTATCTTTACGAAAAAAACTAATTAAAATCTTTTATTAATATTTCTCCAAGGAAAAGGATATTTTTGATCTGGATATTCTGGATCTAAAACCTAGAAATTAGTCTTAATAAATAAATCGAATGGAATTGGGTCCTAAAGTCCTAACGTACAAATCCTAACAACAGCATAATAATATATTGTTGTTATATAAATTTCTAGAGCTGAAGACCGCGCTCAGTGGCGTGCCATTGGAGAGGCTTATGTCCAGCAGTGGACGAAAACAGGCTGTTGATGATGAATGAAAATATGAATTTCAGGGTAAATGGCAACTCCAAACGAATTATTTAATAAACACATTGGTTCTTACATTTAAATGTTTATTTTATACAATTCTAGTTGTATCGAACTTTAATGATATTTGTTTACAAACTCTTATTTAATTTTTTTTTTACGGGTATATATCATACATCGGAAATCAAAGAATTAAACCTAATTGGGGCGACCGTTCTTTGCTCACCGGATAGAATTAGTGTGAACCTCTCTTCTTTTGCTTCAAAAGGGGAATTAGTTAATGTCACTCAATTGTCTCATTCCATTATTGATTTGATTTTTGATTTTGTTTTTTTTACAAAACTTTGCCCCACACTAGGATTTTCTCCTGTGTCGTGGGTGGGTGGGTTTACAAACATACAAGTTCACATACACAATCCCGAAACAACAATTTGTGGATCACACAATGTGTTGTCCCGTGCGGGAATCGAACCCGCAACACGTTGCACGGCAGCCGGTTGCCCAGCCACCGCACCAACCGTGCAGTCACATTGACAGCTATGAGGACTGGACAAACCGACTTAATTTAATATAGCGCCGTCTGGTGTTCAAAGTTAAAGTCAAAGTCAAAATCATTTATTTCAATTAGGCCACAATGGCACTTTTGAACGTCAACAAAAGTTAAACGTGAAGCTATTTGCTCATTCCAAGCTATTTGCTCACTCCTATGGAGAAAAACGAGCAAGAAACTCCATAGGTTACTCTTTTTCAATCAGGTTCACAAAACAATTTACTAGTTACATAGTTTTGCTGTTTTGTTTGTTCGAAATAACATTAGCCCCCATTGACAGAACTTCCTTTGTTTTAAACAATATTTTACAAAACGTGTCATACAATATTTCAGATAACGTTTTAACTTTTGACAGATTAATTGTGTCTATAATGACGGTACTCAATGGAGTACCGTACCGTATTAACCTTTTGAGCGCCAATGTCACATATACGCGACAAGCGAAAACTGTCCCTGGACGTCAACGACACAAATACATGACAGAAAAAGCGGAACCAGAAACACGAATTATTGGAATCCCTATTGTATCAACAATAGGGATTCCAATTGTTGATACAATAGGGATTCCAATAATTCGTATAATTCCTATTTCTTTCGTAGAAATTTGCGTGGAATTTGTGGCTTGGTGTCGAAGGCAGGTTCATGTGTTTTTGCTCTGGCGTTCAAAAGGTTAAACTGTCAAACACCAAGCGGTCACCGGTGACCGCAACCTATTGTTCTATAATTGTGTCTATACTGACGGTACTCGACGAGTTAAACTGTCAAACACCAAGCGGTCATCGGTGACCGCAACCTATTGTTCTATAATTGTGTCTATACTGACGGTACTCGACGAGTTAAAGAACAATAGGTTGCGGTCACCGGTGTCCTCGCGGTGTTTGACAATTAAAACAATATTTGACATAACGGTTCAAACAATATTTCACATAACGTTTTAAACAGTACTTCACACAAGACATACAAACTATAGGATAGCAAATTGTAGTAATACAAAAGCATAATTAGCAAATAATCCCATCAAACTCAGCTGAAGCCTGGCGTCCACGTGGAACAATCCACACGCATTCAGCTTAATGACTGACGATCGATTTTCCCTTAAGACATTCATGCAGAGGCGACCTTGATTATCTGAAAAGAATAAAAACATTTATGATTGACATGTGCCCAAACTGAGGTAATAAATTAGTTACAAGATAACAAAACATCTTCTGTTCTCAGAAGGAAGCAATAGAGGTTTACAAATTAGATACAGGTACCACTAGCCACTCTTTCCTAGATACACCAACAGCCCAACAGCCTATAAATGCCCACTGCTGAGCAAAGCCCCTTCCCACACGGAGAAGGTTTGAGCATTAATAACCACGCTTATAATTAGAAATTATAAGCCCATGTTCGATCACCCTGAATGAGTCTACTCTCGAGTTTGTTCAGGAGTATGTCTACCTAAGACCTACAGATTGGTAGAAACAACTTCGAAAGGGAGGCTCGTAGAAGGCTTGGCTGGATATAGGAAACTCTATCAGGTCTTTTCTTCTACTCTAGCGTAAAGCCTGAAGACGAAAGTCTGCTACGAGTGTGTCCTACCAGTAATGACATACCGGCCCGAAGGCTTAAGACCTATCAACGGCAAGTATCCATCTGACTTCTGTCTGAGTTAGAGGTACATGTACTTTCTAAGATTCTTTAGACACCACTGATAAACGGCGATAGAAAACATCGCGAAGAAACAGGAGCTTATAATTTCCAATTATAAGTTTGTTATGGCCAGCCAGCATAGAGCAAGCGTTTATGCTCAAACCTTCGTATATTATTGTCCTCAAGTGTGATGTCGGTCAATTGGGGGTACTTTGATAACATTAATTATTGTATGTGTGCGGTAGCCAGTCTGCGAATATACGCCTTGTAGCTAAGTCGTTGTTTGATTACGATTCCGATATTTCTCAGTGGCGACGATCAGTATCGAATCACACGCGAAAAATAGTGTTAGCTTGCTAAAATGTCGATCGGAAAGATTGCGGAATTCAAAGTGCATAATGACGATTGGAGATTATACGTGGAACGCTTAGAACAATATTTCTTAGTGAACAAAATACCGGATAACTTACAAGTACCGACATTGATAACGGTGATGGGAGCTGAATCCTACGAACTTTTAGTTAATTTGTGTACGCCGGAGAAGCCTAAAAGCAAAACATTCACGCAGATCACGGAAATTATGGAAAAACACCTACAACCCAAACCTAGTGAATTGGCCGAACGTTATAAATTTCGACACAGAAAACAAAAAGAGGGTGAATCTATATCGGAATACACCGCGGTTTTGAAAAAAATGTCTAAGACCTGCGAATTCGGTTCCTCACTCGAAGAAAGTTTAAGAGATCAGTTAGTTTGTGGCATAACTAATGAAAATATACGACAGCGGTTATTTGCCGAAAGTAAGCTGGACTTCGGCAAGGCGTATAAGTTAGCAGTTAGTATGGAGGCGGCAGAGAAAGACGCGGCAGAGGTGGTTGGACATGGAGGGTCGGCCAGCGAGACGGCGGCGGCAGCATCAGTGACGTGTCAAGCGATGTTGACAACGGGGGCATCACGGCGGAGTGGCGCAGCGCCGGCTACACGCGGTGCGCGTGACGTCAGCGGAGTGGCGCGGGAGGCCGCTGCGCAGACTGCGAGGCGGCGAGCGCCGCGCGCATCGGCAGCGCCCGCGCCCGCTCGGCTGGGTGAGCGTGCGCAGCAGCAGTGTCACGTGTGCGGTGCGAGTCACGACGCAGCCACGTGCAAGTTTGTGCGTTACGTGTGTAGGGTGTGTAATCGACCAGGACATCTGCGACGCGTGTGCCCGAATTTAACAGGACACTTCAACGTAGACATTGATCCAAGTAAGGATGATCATGGAAGTGAAAGTACGGAGAGTGACGAGGTAATTTTTATTGATGTTTGTAAATTATCTGCTATAGAATGTAAACCCATGTATCTAGAATTAAACGTTAGCGGTAAAAACATTAAAATGGAATGTGACACCGGTAGTGCTATCTCATGCATAAGCCATGAATGTTACATGAGATTATTTAATGATTTATGTCTTAAACCCTGCCAGCTAACACTTAGGTATTATACGGGGGAGTCAGTCAAACCACTAGGAGTTATAACGCCAACAGTAAGGTACAAAGATACATGCAAGACGTTGGAATTATTTGTTGTGGAGAATGGGAAAACCATTCTTTTAGGACGGCAATGGATGGCCGAATTAAAAATAAAATTACCTATTGTAAATTACGAGTGTAATAATGTGACTATGTTCAGAGATGACGTTTTCGACCTGTCTGCTTTCAGTTCCAAATATTGTGAGGTGTTCGCGGACGGTCTGGGCCGGTTCACCGGTGGCAAGGTGAGCGTTCACGTGCGGCCGGGCGCGCGGCCCGTGTTCATGCGCGCGCGCCCTTTGGCATACGCGCTGCGTGAACCGGTGGAGCGCGCGCTGACCCAGCTGCAGCTCGACGGCATTCTCTCGCCGGTGGAGCGCTCGGACTGGGCGACTCCGATCGTACCGGTCGTCAAGAAGGACGGTAACATTAGGATTTGTGCTGATTACAAATTAACTATCAATAAAGTCATAGAAGTTGACCGATATCCGCTGCCTAGGGTAGAGGAGCTGCTGCTTCAGTTGAGGGGTGGTGAACATTTTAGTAAAATTGATTTATCACAGGCCTACGCACAATTTGAACTAGATGACACTAAGAAATATACCGTGATAAATACCCATAAGGGTTTATTTATGTATAACAGGCTAGTGTATGGCCTATCGTCGAGTCCGGGTATTTTTCAAAGACGATTAGAGCAGCTGTTTAAAGATATACCTCAAGTAGGTGTTTTCTTGGATGACATCATAATCACAGGGGCTTCTAAGGAAGCTCACTTGCGAAATTTATGCCAGGTGTTTGATCGATTAAAAAAGTACGGCTTGAGGGTAAAGAAAGAAAAGTGTGTATTCTTTGCGGAGTCAGTTAGTTATTTAGGGCACACCATTAGTAAAAATGGTGTTCACACGTGTCCCGATAAGGTTAAAGCCATAATCAAAACACCCGCGCCTACTAATGTCAGCGAGCTCAGAGCATTCATTGGAATGGTTATGTACTACGGCAAGTTCGTGAAGAATGTTAGTACAGTTCTAGCACCGCTATATAACTTGCTTAGAGTGGGTGTTCAGTTCAGTTGGAGTAAAGAGTGTCAAGATGCGTTTACCAAGGTTAAAAATTTATTAGCAAGTAGTGACGTTTTAATGCACTATACACCGGAGTTGCCTGTAATTTTGACGACTGATGCAAGCAGCGTGGGTATAGGCGCGGTGATATCGCACGCGAGCGCGCACGGCGAGCGGCCGGTGGCGTACGCGTCGCGCTCGCTGACGCAAGCCGAGCGCGGTTACTCACAAATAGACAGAGAGGCGCTCGCTATTGTTTTTGGGATTAGGAAATTTCATCAGTACTTGTATGGGCGCAAGTTTATATTGCGAACGGATCATAAGCCTTTAACTTACATTTTTGGAAATAAAGCAGGGATCCCGGTAATGGCCGCATCCAGACTACAACGCTGGGCGGTGTTATTGGCAGGTTACTCCTATGACATTGAGTATGTGTCATCAAGTAAGAACTGTGCGGATGCGTTGTCACGATTGCCATGTACAGAAGTTAATAATTTAGGAGTACGGAACGATAACACTTATGTTAATTTTGTAGAAGATTTTTTACCTATTACCAGCAAAGATGTTAAAGAAGCTACAGCTCGTGATAAGGTCCTAAGTAGAATTTTAACGTATACCCAATCTGGTTGGCCTACAACTTGTTCAGATGAATTGATTCAACCCTATTTTAGAAGACGTAATGAACTATACACGGAATGCGGGTGCTTAATGTGGGGTTACCGTATGGTCGTACCACTTTCATTACAATATAAAGTTTTAAAACAACTTCACAGTAGTCACATGGGGATAGTGAAGACAAAGAGTCTAGCTCGTAGCTACGTGTGGTGGCCTAACATAGATGCTGCAGTGGAGGAGATGTGCAAGCAGTGTGAGACTTGTGCGGCGGAGGCGGACGCTCCCCACCGGGCTCCAATACAGCCGTGGCCTTACCACACGCGTCCCTGGACGAGGCTACACGTTGATTTTCTAGGTCCGTACAAAGGTTTAACGTTTTTCGTTTTAATTGATTCTTCTTCCAAGTGGATAGAAGTTTTTGAGATGAAAGGTACTAACGCATCTAAGGTTATAAAAGTATTAAGATCTACATTCGCCAGATTCGGCCTACCAGAAGAATTAGTTTCGGATCAAGGCCCACCATTTACCAGTACTGAATTTAAAAATTTTCTTAAGAATAATGGTATAAAACAGTATTTTTCACCGGCTTACCACCCATCCTCAAACGGGGCAGCAGAGAACGCAGTAAAGTTATGTAAACGAGCTATCAAGAAGGCTTTTAGAGACCAGACAGATATTGATACGGCTTTACAAACTTTTCTTTTAGCTTATCGCAATACAGTGCACGGTACCACCGGGGAAACCCCAGCCATGCTTTTACAGAGACGGACGTTACGGTCGAGACTAGATCTGTTGCGTAGTGATCGTGTCATTGAAAACAGAGTACGAGAAGCACAGGCGCGTCAAGTAGAATACGCGGGTGGAACTCCTCGTAAATTTACAGAGGGGGACTCAATTTGGGCACGGGAGTACGGCTCTGGTGATAAATGGGTGAAAGGCACTGTACGCGGGGTGGACAGTTTACGTAGGTATTCAGTAGTGGCGGATAGCGGTCAAACTTACAAAAGACACATTGATCAAATGCGTCGTAGATCCCGATTTTCCGATGTTACCTGTCCGGGAGGAGATGATGAGAGTCAGCGGGGTGAAGGGAATGTTGTCGAGCCTTTAAGCAAGGGTTCAGAGGAAGTAACTCTGCCAGAAACAGAGACTGTAAATACTAACCAGGGCGAACAAGAAGGTGTTCCTTCTGAACACTCCTCACCTAAACTACCATCGCCATCTGTGCCACCGGTGAGTCGTTATTCCAGGCGGACACGGAAACCGGTAGATAGATTTAGAGTAGAATAAGTTAGTTCATAAGAATGCCTAGTTAAGTTAGCCTAAGAATACTTAGTTAAGTTATCAACTCTTGTAAATTAGTTAATAAGAGATTTAATTCTAGATTAGCGGTGGAGGTGTGATGTCGGTCAATTGGGGGTACTTTGATAACATTAATTATTGTATGTGTGCGGAAGCCAGTCTGCGAATATACGCCTTGTAGCTAAGTCGTTGTTTGATTACGATTCCGATATTTCTCATTAAGGTTATTTTCTTTTTTGATCACTTTGACTGGATTTTAGTGTTACATTGTTCTCACACAATCCAAACAGCAAAACTATGTAACTAGTAAATTGTATTGTGAACCTGATTAAAAAAGAGTAACCTATGGAGTTTCTTGCTCGTTCTTCTCCATAAGAATCTACGCCTTTGAATGAGCAAATAGCTTCACTTTCAATTTTTTTTTTGACGTTCAAAAGTGCCATTCTGACCTAATTGAAATAAATGATTTTGACTTTTGACCTTCTCCATTTAAAAAGAGGTCTTTAGTCAAATGAAGTAGGATAATGTCGAATTTGGCTATGTATAGGGCCAAAGGTTCACTTATGACATTAACATTTTATAGAACTACATAGAAGTTGTAAAGGTGCCATCGTTGAGTGGATACATACATGAACAGTTTACAGTCATCATTTGCTTTATACATGCTGTCTCCGCTTTCTCTATCGCCATGTAGAACTTTTCACAATACACGTTTTGCAGAATGAATTGCAACATGTCCTTGACTATACCTAGCACTATCATCAGGTTTGTCAGTACCTTGGATTGTATCTGCAAATAAAACAGTACAGTAGTGGTACTATGAAAAAATATTTAAAATCCCAATGTCAATTCACCCTTTTCGGTCTCTATTCACCCCGCGAATTCTATTCACCCTGCCTTACCCGTTACAACAAATCGAGACACATTTTTTTTATATTTAGAATTTCCCAATGTCTATTCTTCTGTCTTCATTCACCCCTCAAATTCCATCTACCACGTTATATCAGATAAAATAAATTGAGAAGCATTTTCTTTTATCTTTATTTTATTTGCTGCTGATGGTTGATGAATTATTTGACGAAATCCCACTATTACAGTCAAAGTAAAATCATCTTATATATAGCTTACCTGTTCATTTGTGACTTTCACTGTCTTCACGGACTGCATAGTGAACTCAAAAGAAGATAAAGTGCGACATAGTGCATTCATTGTCCGATAAAATATCTGTAAAAGAGAAATGACAAGTAAAGATATTACAATTTTGACACACTGGAATCGAAACATATCATCATCATCAGCCTGTTTTCGTCCACTGCTGGACATAAGCCTCTCCAATGGCACGCCACTGACCTCAGTCTTCAGCTCTACGCATTCAACCACTACCAGCCACTTTACGTATATCGTCACTCCACCTAGCTGAAGGGCGTCCTACACTACGTTTGCCTAGACGCAAAAACATATACATACATGTGTATGTATTGCAGTAATGTCCTTTTTATTAATTATAATAGAATGAAGAATATTACTTTGACATAAATTAAGAAAGTACCTACACATTTGTATATAGCTTAATTTGATAGTGACTGTTACCTGTCTACTACCTCTCACTATGGTAGAATAAATACAATACTTACATGTAACGTTGTGTTATAACGTCACAGCACAACTTAAAACTTAAATAATTTTGTAGAAAAAGTGCAAGTCATCAAAATTTTAGACGCATACAATAGCATAGCCAGTTTTGATTGTACAACAAAACTAAGTACAGATCGATTCGTAACATAGAAGCTGTCATTCATAGTGAGACATATTTCTTGAAACGTGAACATTATCTATTTAGAACAAAGGAGAAAATAAGTTTACTCACACATTTGTTACATACATACTTACCAATACATGCGATACCTTCTTATATAAATCAAACGCTGCCAAAATGTTTTGATACGTTACAAACAGTTTCTCATAATACAATTGTTCATCTTCCTCAACATTTATAAATTCAACATTTCTAATCCATCCTTCAAGGTACTTTATAAGCAGAACAAGAATTTGAATGGTATACACGAAATCAATATCAAAAGTGATGAACAATATTTCAGACGAACAATTAATCAGATCAAAGAATTGTGAAACTGTGCCAATGGTAACAAAACCGAAGATGTCTATACAAAGAACTATTGAAATTATTATCCAATTAGAAGTAATCAAAGTGGAGACCTGTTCGTTAATGTCAATACTCTTATGAATGCTCTGGATCATGAGAATAAGTAAGACATTGCTTTGTCTGTAAACGAAGTTGATGATGAAGTCTACAATGAAGGCAAGGCATCGAGTCACAGGCAGGAATAATGAAATGAATTTCACAATAAAGGTATCACCACTGTAGATAAAGCTCTCAATGTCTTTATGCCCTATACGATGGACAGTAACGCCGATGACATAACAAACACACAAACATCTTATGACGAAAATTTTTCTTCCAATTGGAGAAATGTAACTGCCTTTTATTCTATACTTTGACGAGAAAAGTAATGCGAGAAAGAAATGAAACGGGTAGATAATGTCTTTTATATCTTTGTCCAAATAATTATTGTGGATTTTTGTTTGATATCGAGCTATTGGAATCATATTAATCATTTTTTCGATGTTACCACGGTTAGATATCTTGAGGAATGACTTGTAGTTATCATTTTAACCTTTATGCTTAGACTGTCTACAATCATTTTAATAGGTTTATTGATCGTGATGTATTTTATTTCAATTTATGTAATGGGTGTCTGAGCTTTCTTAGCAAACGTTTTAGGCTTTGTAGTTGACAATTTTGGTGAAAATAATAAAATTGATTGACTAATACTCTGGTAACAAATAACTTGTATATTAATTTACTTGTTCATTGGCTTAAGCTTAGCAACGACAACAGTTTTCAAAATAGGCAATGTCTAGTGGTAAATGTAGCAAAAAATAGTCTATCTTTCTTAATATTTTGATCGTCCGTACGATTTTAGGACAACCTTTTCAACACATCGATGATGTATTTTCAGTTCCTTGACCTTTGTTTACCTTACTATAAAAAGACTCTTGTAAGTGGCTCAGTCGGTTACAAATAGACATGAAAAAAAATAACCAGTTTCTTTGAAATCCAATCTGACCAAATGATAGATTGATTCCTAAAATTAGACAATTTGTCACAAGACATAAATCATAAAAAGCATTATTTTTAAGGGCAAAGACTACATAATGCTAACATACTTACGTAGGCTAGTAAAGTGATAAACTGCACGGCGGCACGGTGGCTGGATAACATGTAGCGAGTTCGATCCTCCCACGGATTCGGGTTTGGTTCTCATGGGTATGTAAAATTGTAAATGCACCCACGACACAGAAGGGAATCCCAGTGAGGGACAACGATTATTTTTTTAAAGAATGAACTAGAATTCTATTTTAACTCGTCGAGTACCGGTTTTGTAGACACAATTATAGAACAATAGGTTGCGGTCACCGGTGACCGCTTGGTGTTTGACAGTTTAAGTAAGCTTTTATAGGATTAAACCTGATCAACATTATCATATTCGTCATATTAATAGCAACGAGATGTCCACTTTTGAACGTATAGAGGCTAATTTCTACTGACTATCAGATTAATTGGATCTAGTTCATAAATCGTAACCCGGAGACATTCCTAAAGTAAGGTGCAGTGTAAATAATAACCTTGTTTACACTTTCTTATTAGGTTTGTCGTGAATAACAAATATGTAAAGATATTAAGTAAAATAATCAAATGGCCTGAGTACAAGTACATAAAATAAATTAATCACCACAGTCAATTCAATTAGTTACATGTTCCAAACAATATTAGACATCAGTTGATACTGAAGAGAGTAACAAGAATCATATTGTCAGCAAATTCAAGATTAGAGTTAATAAAACAAGTTTGGGACACAATACTTAAATTGTTTGAGTAACATAATTCATTCATGGACACGTTTATAAGCTTCTAACAAAAGAAACTACACAAGCAATGGCATCTGATGAAGCAATACAAAATAATGTAATTGACAAAGACCTACAATCATTGTTAAGACCGCTGAACTTAATGCTCAACGTTTTCTTCTGCAAGAAATATTCTCTTCACAACAGTATTATCAGTTGTAACAGTCGTGCTTATTTCCTTGTAAAAGTTTTAACCACTTTCTTGTTCCGATGCTTCGGTGTTTATAACATCATTTTTTATATTTCGTATTTGCGAAACAACTGGTGGGGTATTTACAGTTTTTTCTACGTCTTCAGCTCGTGCTTTGAATTTTGTTTCCATGTGATGGCCGATTTCATTAACGGCTTCTTCGACATCAAGCATACCTACTACATCTCTTTGGTCTTAAAGATTCAGTACGTGCTGAAAGTTTTAGACATTAATGCCAACGATGTCAGACATTTGATTGTCTCCAACTGGGTTTTTATCATAATTCTTAATGTCTACTACATAGCCTTTGACATTTCTTATTTCACGATTTTTAATACGTCTATCTATGACATGATATCTTCTTATATCACAGTCACTTATGACATAGGAATCTTGTATGCTTTGTTCGTTTTAAAATTAGTTGAGCGATTTCTTCGCGTGTGGATAAATAAAGTTTGGAAATCAACAAAACTTAGAAATTACAGAACAGACGAGTACTGGAAAAAGTTGTTGGATGTGTATTTTGTTGTGAATGAGATTTGTACTATTTTTGGGCAGACATTTCAACAAATGGTTAGTTGATGTCTTCTTGCTATATTCTCATCATAATCTAATCTATATTTATAAAAATTAATTAATTTCTTTTCGCGAGAATTGCTGGACCGATTTTGCTAATTCTTTTTTATTGTATTTGTTATTATCAGGAGAAGGTTGTTATCACTTAAAAAAATCCTGTAAATCCTACGGAAACGGGAGAAAACGGGATTGCGCGTACAAAATCGCGGGCAGAAGCTAATTATTAATAAAAATGGACCATCAAAATGTATGCCTAATGTATGACCGCATCGAATTGGATACTTATTGCTGTTGTTTCGTTATCGTAAAGACTAAGTTTATTTAAATTAAAGAATTGAAAATTTCTCGGGAACATTGGGAAATAGCACCCAGGAGGAGCTGGGGCGGGCC